TGGAGGGACCCCCAGTCCTGGTGCTAGTGGTTTAGCACGTTCCTACTTGGTGCCTGGCAACCCCCCCATCTCAGCCCCCCTGCTCTCAGGCTGCTTCCCCCAGCATGAGGCTGGTGGAGCAGGGATGCAGGGGGGGTCTTGACCACTGCCATCCACTGCCAGGGGGAGGTGGGCCAGTCCAAGCTCATGCCCTACACCTCCCTGGAGGCCGCCAAAAAGGACTTTGAGAAGAAGTTTCGGGAGAAGACCAAGAACAGTTGGGCGGCGAGGGAGAACTTCGTTGCCCAGCCAGGGAAGTACACGCTCATCGAGGTGCAGCCAGGGACTGGGCAGGAGGTGGAGGTTGCCCTCAGGGTGAGTGTGCTGGGCAGCTGGGGTGTCATGTCGGTGGGGTGGTCCTCACATCCCACCCCTGGCCCAGTGGGCACCAGGACATCCAAGTGGGTCAGCAGGATGGGGTGGGTTTTGGGAGGGGTCTGGGTGTGAGCTGAAACAGCCCGTGGACAGAGATTTGGGGCTAATGGGTTGAGGTGGAGTGGGAGGGCATTCCAAGTGAGAACCATGGGTGTCTGTGTGGCATTGGTCATGGAAAGAGGAGGCAGAACCTGCCTGTTGCTCTGCTGCCTGGGGGCGAAGTTCTCCCCACTGAGATGGGCAGCCCCGGTGCCATGCCCCTGCAACCTGCCGCGGGCTTGCAGGTGGCACGGTGATGTTGGGGGTCTGCAGGTGGATGGCATGGATGGGGACAAGGTCTGCAAGCAGCGGGTGCTGCCCTGCACCTTGGATAAAGCCACGCAGGACCTGGTGTCCCTCATCTTCAGCAGCGACATGTTCCGGGATGCCATGCAGACCATGAATATCGGTAGGAGGTGATGGGGTGGCATGGGGTGGGTCTGGGGGCTGTGGCTGTGGGTTGCAGGTGGGGAGGTGAATGGGGCAGAGGTGCCAGTGGATTTTAGAGCATCCCCGCTGACAGCCCGGCACCTGGTGGGACAGTGGACTTCTCATGCCAGGTGCCCGCATGTGCCCGTGGTGGTGCTGGAGGTTATTGGAAGTAGCTGTGGGGCAAGTAGGGTGGATGGGTTCACCTGCATGCTCCGCTGTCCCCCTGGCCAGATGTGAAGAAGATGCCACTGGGGAAGCTGAGCAAGCAGCAGATTGTGAGGGGCTTCGACGCACTGGACAAGCTGGAGGCGGCGCTGCAGGAGCAGCCCCCCCAGACTGACTACCTGGAGGACCTCTCCTCCCACTTCTACACCATCATCCCCCATAACTTTGGGCGGGGACGGCCACCCCCCATCAACTCCGCCGACCTCCTGCGTGCCAAGAAGGACATGCTGTTGGTGAGATGCCAGGGTACCTGGCAGGTGGCATCCCTCCCCAAGGAGGGCTTCTGCCTGTGGGGCAGGGAGGTGCTGGCAGGAGGCTGGGCTTGCCCCGGTCCCCCCGGCACAGTGCCCAGCACAGGCGGTGATGATGTCCCTGGTCTGTGCCTGCCAGGTGCTGGCCGACATTGAGGTGGCACAGAGTCTGCAGGCACAGAAGGTGAAGGAGGAGGAGGAGGAGGAGGAAGTAATCCATCCGCTGGATCAGGATTACGCCCTGCTCAACTGTCAGCTCTCCCTGCTGGACCCAGCTTCCCAGGAATACCAGGTGCCACTTGTGCTATTGTGCCCCGTGACCAGGAGCAACTGTGCCACACCTGCGGGCACCCCAAAGGTCCCCACTGCCCCAGGGGCATTGCTGGGATGGCTGCCTGTGGTGACACTGCCTTTCTGCCTCCCTCTCTGGCAGCTGATCCAAAACTACGTGACACAGACTGGGCGCAAATTCCACATCCTCAATATCTGGTGTGTGGCCCGAGATGGTGAGGTGAGAAGAAGGAGCTGCTTATCCCTGTCCCACACTGGGGAAACCCTGGTTGCACCCCAAGAAGGAGTTTTGTCTGCATTAGGGCTCCAGGCATCTCCACCCAGGGGGGCTTGAGCCCAGCTGGCCAGGGGCAAATGAGTACCCGCTCCCCTGCCCCTCCAGCCTGGCACTGGGGTTAGGCTGGGGGTGGGTTGGGTGGCAGTCTCCCACCGTGGGGACCCATGTCTCCCTCTGTGGACAGCCCTTAGCTCTACACCTCACCAGGACAAGCGCTTCAAAGTCCACGACCTCCTGGAGTACCGGCGCCTGCTTTGGCATGGCACCAACGTGGCGGTGGTCGTGGCCATCCTGAAGAGTGGGCTGCGCATCATGCCCCACTCGGGTGGGCGCGTGGGCAAGGGCATCTACTTCGCCTCCGAGAACAGCAAGTCAGCCTGCTACGGTGAGGGTCCTGGGCCCACAGAGTTTGCGGGAGCCCAGCTGCCTTTGCATACCCCCTGTCAGGCAGCTGCTGGGCACGCTAAGCCCCTTCCCTGCCATGGCAGCCAGGCCCTGCATGCCGGGGTGGCCTGGGCACAACCAGATGGGAACACCAGGGCTGGTGCCATCATCTCCATCCCCTTCTCCCATGGCAGTGGGCTACACGTCCCAGAAGGTTGGCATCATGTTCCTGGCAGAGGTGGCCCTGGGCAAGTCCTACCACATCACCTGCGATGACCCCACACTGTGCCAGCCACCTGCTGGCTACGACAGCGTCCTGGCCTGTGGCCAGACGGAGCCAGGTGAGCCTGGGGCAGGAGAGGGTGTGGGGTCTGTGGGGCTGGGATGGGCATGGGCTGGGGGGAAGAGAGGCCAGGTCTTGGGCTTGACGTGGTGGTGGGGGGTGTCTTCTTGCCCAGACCCTGCGCTGGATAAGGAGATGCTGCTGGATGGCAAGAAGGTGCTGGTGTGCCAGGGCAAGCCCATCCCCGTGTCCGCCTACAAGGACTCTTCCTTCAGCCAGAGCGAGTACGTCATCTACCAAGAAAGCCAGTGCCGGATCCGCTACCTTGTCCAGCTCCATTTCTGAGGGTGCCCGGGCACCTGTCATGAGTGCAGATTTATGAATCCTGCTGATTATGTTATCGTGAATGAGTGACTTTACACAGTTTGATTTAGTAGCAGTTTAGAATTTACTTGTGGCAAACCGCAGGATTTGATTGCGATATTCTAATAGCACTCAGTCATCATTGATTAACAAAGTGATTAGGCAAAATTGATCAAAACAGTGACTTAGTTCAGGATTCGAAGATGGCAAGGTTCACTCTATTACTACATGGTAGAAGTGCATAAAGGAAAATTAAGTTACACTGAGTTGGAATGATTCACAGAGAGATCATGTGTGCAGGGGATAAGGAGGATCCTCCTGTTGAGTCATGAGGTTCAGAATAGACCCCTGTGCTTTCTAAACTCCTTTCAGAGAGGAGTCTAGGTGAGGCTAGGTCCAACCTTAGTCTCAGACTTGGTCAATGGTTTATGTGAATAAGGATAACACAGCAGTATAAGACTCACTTTGTAATTAAATCATACATCTACAGACTACTAAAATTGATTCACACATGCATACACACAGAGACATGAATACATATAAGTATATATAAAGGTATACCTGTTAAAAATTCCCCTCAAGTTCAGTGAAATATCCACGTCGAATGTCTTGGCATTTCTCAACAGATGAGGGTTGAGCCTTGAGGAGTGAAGGGTTTCAGCCCAGGCTCCATCGTCGGTCTTCAGCAATAGACCTCTGATTTTAGCAAACTTTAAGAGTTTGCTAGCTCTGAGAGGTGTCCTACTCAGAGGGAGATGCTGGTGCAGCCCGCTGCAGTCCAGGAGAGCTCAAAGGGCCTCACTTAGGACTCCTGTTTTATAGGATCCGGGGGAGATGATTGGCTTTAGTCATCAGTAAATTTCCATCAAGCCACAGTCTGGGTCGGTAATTACTGGAATTCCAGTAGCGATGATACAGCTCTGTTTGAAGGCTGTCGGGGTAAATGATTGTTCTCGCTCCCCGTGTCAACCATGTAGGAGTTTCTGATAAGGATAGGTCTGGTCTCCATTTCAACCATGTAGAAGTTTCTGGTACAATTAAGGGCACCTAACTGATCAACTCACTACACGAGGCTGTGGTCTGGCAGGAATTCCTGAAGTCATAAAGCGGTTGAAGAAAGAAAAGGTGGAGTGGGGGGATGCACCACCACAGCACCCCATGGCCCCATCCCAGCACCAGCTGGTGATGCCCACCAGCCTGGAGCACAGTGGTCCAGACTCTCTGGCCACCCCACCTGGGGCTTGGCAAAGGACAGGCTGGTGTGGGGACAGAGCCTGTTTGATCATGAATAAAAACACCGTGCCTTGTATCGAGTGGTGCTGGTGCTCTCCTGCCTGGCAAGGCGGGTGCAGAGCGGGAAAGGGTGGTGGTGGGTTGGCAACCGGTGGCTCTGGAGGGGCTGCAGCCTGTTGTGGCCATCCAGTGCTGGCAACCTTCAGGTGAAAGCTGGTGGCTTTGCGAGCCAGGTAGCCTCGTCACCTTAGCAAGGCACGCGGCTCATGCCCGTCGCTGTGGTGTCAGACCTACAGAGGATGAGCAAGATGTGCTGCCTTGCCTGGGCGTGGGGGAGCTCATCCATCCGTCCAGAGGGCAAGCACCAGCCCCCCCTCTGGTGACACACTTGGTGCTGTGGCTGCCGCCCTGCCCCAGACTGGCGCCCGTGCCGAGCCCCTCTCTGCACTAACGTGTGCCCCCCAAGCACGCATCCGGGTCCCCAGGGTGCCAGGGAAGGGCAACTCCTGGCTGTGTTACCCCAATGCCCCATGGATGCTCTGGAGCATCCATGCATCTGCAGGGAGGTGACACTGCGGACCTGCCTGTAGGTCTGTCCCCTGAGCCCTGGGGACCTCGGGGCTGAGCTGTCCTTGCAGAAGGACCAGGCCTGGCGCAGCAGGTAGCCATGCCGGTGGGGGGCACAGAGCTCGGGGACCCCGGTTCCCCCCTTCCCAAGCCCCCGCCGGCTGCTAGGACCCAGCAGCTGTCCCTGTGGGACCGCCACGAGTGCAGGCAGTGCAGGCAGCACCGGGGAGTGACAGCTGGTGCCATCCGCAGCTGGCGGGCTGCAGGCAAACAGGATGACGAGCGGGTGACGGGGCGCAGGGAAGGGGGAGCGTGGCCTTGCACGGGGGCCGGCAGCCCCTGTTCTGCTGTGGGAGCGACGCTGGCAAGAAGGACCCCGGCGAGGAGGGGAGCATCACCCACCTCCCCAGGAGCAAAGGTGCGCTGTGTCCCCTCCGCCCACCCAGGGGTGCCCCGCGGCCGGAGCAAGGAGCAGGGATGGGGCAGGCGGGTTCATGCTGTCCCTCCTCAGGGCAAGGTGGTGCGGCTGGGTTAGGGGGATGGGGTGTCAGCCTGGCACATGCGCCCACAGGTCCTGGCAGTGCCATCCCTGGCCAGGTTGGGAACAGACTGGGCACCAGCCCTGGGCTAGGTAGGGTGCTGTGACCTCACCAGGCACCTCTCCCTGCTCCAGCATCTTGGGGGGGTTGTGTTCAGGTCATCTCCAGGTTTCTTTGTGGCTCTTCCTCATTTTGGTCCTTCTCCTTCATGCCCGGCTCCCCTCTCCAACAGGCAAGGAGAAGACAGTGGCCATGGTTGTGGTGGGGTTTCCTTCTAAAGGACGCAGGAGTAGAGCGCTTGCTGCCCAGGCACTGGAGCTGCTGGCTTAGCCCTCAGGGGGGATGGCGAGCCGAACAGGGCTGAACACCACGGGCAGCCAGGAACCACTCTCCGTCCCTGAGCAGTCTATCGCCCAGGAGGTGGTGGGCCTCCTCTGCATGGTCCTCCTCACCCTCACTGCCCTGGTGGCCAACACCGTGGTGATGGTAGTCATTCTCAAAACCCCCCTTCTCAGGAAGTTCATCTTCGTCTGCCACCTCTGTGTGGTTGACCTCCTCTCTGCCATTTTCCTCATGCCCCTGGGGATCATCTCCAGCTCCTCCTGCTTCAACAGGGTGATCTACAGCATTGCCGAGTGCCAGGCCTTGATATTCCTGAATGTCTGCTTCATCAGTGCCTCCATCCTCACCATCTCCATCATCAGTGTGGAGCGGTACTACTACATTGTCCACCCCATGAGGTATGAGGTCAAGATGACCATCAGGCTGGCAGTGGCCGGAGTGATCTTCATTTGGGTCAAGTCTGTTCTCATTACTGTCTTGGCACTGGTGGGCTGGCCTCAAGGCAATGGGGCCACCAGCGCCAGCCGCTGCACAGTCTACTGGAGCCCTGGGGCCCACAAGAAGGTTTTTGTGATCATCTTCAGCATTGTCTGCTTTGTCCTGCCCACCATCATCATCTTCGCTGTCTACTGCAGTGTCTACCGTGTGGCCCGGATGGCATCCCTGCAGCACGTGCCTGTGCCAGCACAGGCAGCTGCACCAAGACACCGATCCGACTCCATTGCCAGCCAAGTGACCATCATCACCACCAGGAATCTGCCGCTGCCCAGGCTGACGCCAGAGCGCTTTTTGGGAAGCAACAAGGCCATCCTCACCTTGGTCCTCATTGTGGGACAGTTCTTGTGCTGCTGGCTGCCCTTCTTCGCTTTCCACTTGCACTCCTCTGACACCATTGGCATGGTGGGTGGTGGGCATGGGGAGATGGTGGTCACCTGGATTGCCTACTCCTCCTTCGCCATCAATCCCTTCTTCTACGGGCTGCTGAACTGCCCCGGCTCCGTCGCAGCTGTCTCAACCGGCCACTGGGCCAGGAGCTCTGTCTTTCCGTCTCAGAGGCCTCTGTCCAGGAAAACTTCTTGCAGTTCCTCCAGAGAGCAACTTGCACCCTGGAGACCCACGCCAGTTGCATCAACCCCAGCCCCAGGAACAGGCTGGAGCAGACCAGGATGGGCTTCCCCATCCCAGGTCAAGTTCCTGAAGAGAGCAGCTGAAGAGCAGGGGGCCCTCTCCCAACGTGCTGGGCAGGAGGGTGGGCAGGGGACCTGCCAGGGTCCCATCAGACCTGCTTGGACCCAGCCTTTTGGGTTTGGAGGGATCCTTGTTCAGGTTTTGCCTCTTCTCTGAGTTTATGGTAGAAGGTAGTTTCTCTTCCCAGAGAAGATAGCAGATCTGGGGAAGCCTCATCTCCCTTTTCTAGGCTGGGATTGTCTCTAGCTCCACCAGCACAGCCCAGCTTCATGGATGGGCCCTCCTTGGGAAACGGGAAGCCAAGGGGCTCCTATGTGGGGGCAGAGGAGGGGGCACCTCTGTCACCCTGCTGGGACCACTCATGGCCAGTGGGGAAGAGCAGAGGTCCCTTGCACCCTACCCAGGAGCAGTGGCCCCGCTAACACCACTAACACCAGTAACACCAGGGCCCCAGGCAATCCACCCAG